CATTTGCACATTTAATAACAGGATGTGTCTCACCTCTTTCTTTCGGTCTGAGTTGTCTTTCTGGAGGATCCATTTCACGGAGGCTTGGGGTGAGCGTGGCTGACACTCCAGGAAGGCAGAACTCCCTTCTACTCCGTACTGCGCTGCATCCATCCCGTTCTTATTGACTGTAAAGAAAGTCTATGTATTAATGGGAGCTGCATTGTAGGCTTGTGATGGCGCGCTGGCTGTCGGGTGATGGACAGGAAGGAGGATTATGGGGAAAGCTCAGGATGGGTGCACCTTGTGCATTGTGGGTCATTGGTAATCAGACAGGAGGCGGGGCAGTGACACGAGGGATGACAACTGCCCCATCCCCGCGTGTCACTTCTCCGACCTGCCAATTTAACACTATGGCCTTACCATTGGAATTGTACCCTCTGCACTGCCTCATGGGGTTCCCGTGTCTGACGTCCTGGCGGCGGCTTCGTCTGTCCAGGATAAGGGCCGGAGACGGAAGAGAAGACACGACAGGAAGAAACACGGAGGGGATAAAAGCAGACATCGGTTAGACTGATAACGAAGAATGGAGGTCGGTGTATCGTATTGTCTCCCTGTCAGCCAATCCCCGGCTCACCCCTCTGCGTACCGCTTGGAGGATGCCGAATAGCGGGAACACGTCTTCCCATCCCAGGCGCAATACGGGTCTCTGGCGAGGCAACAGTCGGCGCAAGCTTCTCCGTACACGTCGCAGCGATGGAGGGCCAGGTGCGTCACGCCAGACAAAGATGACACGTAGAGCTGTTGCTGTGAAATGGATAAGGAGGATTCTTAGTGTGGAGTGATCGGACCTCATCTGCCCCTCCCCCGGCATCGGTGGGCATCCTAGGCTGTGATGGCGTGCTCTGGGGTGAGGTGGCCATGGGGGCGTTGGAGCTGGTGAACGGGCAAGCGGGTCCTTTACTTCACATTAAAGGAGAAGTACGAGGTCAGGGCCTTTCCCCATAGTTCTACTTAGGGTAACTGGAGGACACAAAC